GTGTGAGCCGAGGCTCCTGCCTCATGGTCCCAGTCCCCCATTTCTTTCTGCCCCAAACAAAAGGAGCCATTACCTCTACCCATGCAGGTGTGAATTAATGGACTTTGTGACATTAACATAAGTGAAAAGATTGTCTATAGTCATACCCACCCACACGTATGCCCCAGTGATGTAATGCAAAAGTTTGAGTATAAATATCACCCCAATTTCAGCCCAAGAATCGGGACAGGATCAACTCGGAACCAGACTGATGACTGGACGGATTGACAAATTCACTCCCTCTCCATCCCCACCACTCGGGACACCTTGTGGGTAAGATTATTTACCTCACCTAATGCTGAGTGATATATTTCCTCCTCAGGTTTATATTCCCTGAGTGTATTCTATATTTCTCCTCAGGTTCATTTCTAGGCTTCCCTGAGTGTATTCTTGGTTTTGCTCCACTGTATTTCTGTTCGACGGGCTTGTTTATTTGCTGACCGGCTGGGCTTACAGCAGGCAAGTTGTTGTTGTTTGTGGTGGTGTTTGTGTGTGTACAACCTTTAGTGTACCTGTAATTTTTCAATTTATCACCGGCAATCCAAAAGAACCTGTAAATGTTGCTGTAAATAAACGATTACTATTTGTTTCCCGACTTGCATCTGTCGCACATTCGGTGCCGGCCTCACAAGACTGGATTTATTTCCCCATTTTTCACAACACCCATGGCATGTGGAGGAGATCTAAGGCAGCACCTCCATCTATAATCCAATTAGCTGATCCCTCCTGTCTCCAGCCAAAGAGTTTCTCAGCAAACAAGTGCCTTGAATGTAATTCACTTTATCATAATTACAAAAGCCAATGCTCTAATAACCATTGTTTTCACATTCACCAAAGCAAAGCTAATTAGAGCACAGGGGTGGCTTCCTGTTTCAGCCTTGAACTTCTCTTCCCGTGTGGAGGACAGCAGCAGCAAGCACCACGCCTTGTTAGGAGAAACCCAGATGTCCTCCAGCAGCTGTGAAGCTGCGTTCGCCCAACAGCAGATAAGAGACATGAGGGGACAGTAAATGCAGAAATTCTTTACCCAGGACAGCCTGTGCACCCAGCAGCAGCTCTAGTGCTTTAGTACTCCCCAAGAAGTCTCCCCTCAACAAGCAGAAGCAGAGAGATGGACTACCTTTGCTGGCCATGTGTTAGCCACATCATACACAGACAAAACTGGTGGAGCATAAAACACAGCAAGCGACTGGTAGGAACATGATCAGGGTGAGAATCTGCAGGACTGAACATTTCCAGTTCCCATGTCACAGTTTTGGAGATTTATCCAATTGCTGAAGACTGTTCCCAGGTGGATGGAAGGCTCAACTGGAAATCATTCCCAGCCCTGTCACTGGCCTCATGCATGACCTTGACCACTTCCCATATTCCCTGTCTACAAAACTGATGTGATAATCCACAGAGTGATTTGAGATAAAGGACTGAAGAGATCTCTCAAAGATGAATGGCCATTGTTAACTTGCACAAGCAATTGCAAGAACAGCATTGCTGAACTGTTGGTGCACTGGTGCATCTAGATCCTTGAAATCAGATATTGAGGCTCCTGAAGTGATGCTATGGGCCTACAGAAGGGCCCAGGGGAGAATACTGCATGCAACAGTGTTTGCCCAGGGTTTGGGGGTGAATAAGCAGAGGACATTAGCTGAAGGAAACCAAAACCAACCATCACCTTCTAGCTTGTGCTCTGTGGACATCTGTACAGCATCTTGATACTCACGTGCAAGGTCCAAGAGCTGTGATGACTATGGTAACATGGGCTGCCAACAACCAAAAAGTGAAGAATAAGGCTCCAGATAACAGGTTGGATGTTCATCACTAAATACATATGCAGAAGATGATACAAGGAACCAAATAGGAGTTTATTTCTTCTTCATCAAAAGATTTTAATAGAGGTTGGGCTGTCCAAGATAGATGATCACCTTCAGATCTTCCTTCCATCCCCATGGATGTGTGCCCAGCAGTGTGCCCAGGTGGTCAAGAAGGCAAACTGCATCCTGACCTGTATCAGCAATAGTGTGGCCAGCAGGAGTAGGGAGGTGATTTTGCCCCTGTACTCAGCACTGGTGAGGCTGCACTTCGAATCCTGTGTTTAGTTTTGGGTCCCTCATTACAAGAAGGACATTGAGGCACTGGAGCGTGTCCAGAGAAGAGCAACAAAGCTGGTGAAGGGTCTGGAGCACAAGTCGTATGAGGAGCAGCTGAGGGAATTGGGGGGGTCAGCCTGGAGAAGAGGAGGCTGAGGGGAGACCTTATCGCTCTCTGCAGCTACCTGAAAGAAGGGGGTAGCGGGGAGGGGGGAGACATTGGTCTCTTCTCCCAAGTAACAAGTGATAACAAAAGGAGATGGCCTCAAGTTGCACCAGGGGAGGTTTAGATTGGATATTAGGAAAAATTTCTTCACCAAAAAGGTTATCAAGCATTGGAACAGGCTGCCCAGGGAGATGATGGAGTCACTGTTGCTGGAGGGATTTAAAAGATGTGTACATGTGGTACTTAGGGACATGGTTTAGTGATGGAGTTGGCAGTGCTGGCTTAATGGTTGGACTCGACGATCTTAAAGGTCTTTTCCAACCATAGCAATTCCATGATTCTACAATTTCCTGTGAGAGTGCCTACCACCTACTGCCTTCGAGTGAGCACTGCCTCTGCTCATGCGGTGGTAAAACATTAGAGGATAGTTTTTGTATCAGTCATGGGGCAAAACCATATGTGTGTGCCGAGGGGAAGTCAGTCACCCAAATAAATACACACAGTATATGATTTCTGTCATCCCCGCTCCTTAGGTTTCATAAGGTTATGGAGCAACACAGTGGGGAGAAGGAGAGAGGAGGAGGAGAGGAACAGACAGAGATGCTTTATCAGATCCTTCTGTCACAAGCAGCATTCCTCAGGGCTCAGTTTTGGGGCCAGTCCT